AGTGTGCGAGCGAGAAGGAAAATGAGTTGTGTTGTCGTTTGGTGGAGGGGTGGCAGGGGAAGCAACTGAAAATTAATTTCGTCATTCTGGCTATAATTATGATCCGATCTAATTCAGATTCAGCAGTCTGGTAGATATGGGCATTCTCTACGATACTGCCTTTTTTAGTTTAATCGTATCTTTAAAATTGTGCCTGCCACAGATTTTCGTCCTTTGTGGGGGCCTAAGGGGGCGGGGCGAAATTCTGAAATACACTTGTAGCAGTGTGATATCACATAAGTCTGGAAACCAAATTTGGTTGCCCTAGCTCTTATAGTCTCTGAGATCCAGGAGCTCATCGAGACGGACAGACGGACAGACAGACAGACAGACAGACAGACGGACAGACATGGCTATATCGACTCGGCTATTGATGCTGATCAAGAATATATATACTTTATGGGGTCGGAAACGTTTCCTTCTCTGCGTTACACACATCCACTTTTACCACAATTCTAATATACCCCTTAACTCTTTTTTGAGTACGGGTATAAAAAGTGCTTTGTATGTATACCATTGATGTCATCCGTGTTACTTATATGTAATCAAATAAAGTAGTCATTATTACAGCAGGGATATTCCACCCAAAAATGTCCTTTTTGATATTTCATATGATTATGGCAATGTAATGTAACACGTTAAGATTTGATATAAAATCTATGTATATAAAACAAAGTCGTCTCCGGTAAACCGCTTATAGCTCGAAAAAGACTTGACCGATTTTCATGGTATTTGATTTGTTGAATTTGGAAAAATATGGAAATATAGAAAAATTAATTACTCAAAAAATAAATAAGTAATATTTTAAAAATATTTTTTTATTTTAGAATATAAATAGCGGAGTATTTAAATAAATTTTTATTTTTTAACTTAAAAACTTTTAAAAATAAATTTAAAAAAAAAATAATTTTTTGTATTTCAAAATATTTTGAAAACACTTTATATTAATACAAAAAAGGTATAGATCAAAAATAAGAAATTTGCTTTGTTGTGTTACGTAAGCTTTTTTCAAAGGTAGCGCTTGTTTTTTCCCATAGCTCTAGTATCTTACGTCTGGTTGTAAAGAACTTTGCTATTTTGAAAATATAATTAAAACAGCTAGAAGTTAAGCCCAAACACTTTGTGATTACAGCTTACCGTCTGGGAAATGTAAAGCATTGAAATGCAAAAATTATGATTTTTGTGCGGTATTTTTTACGAAATTTTGACTTTAAAACCTAGGAAAAGTCGAAAAAAAAATTATATCTTGTGTCCTTTATTTTTTTGTGTATAGGTGCGTTAATTTGGCTTCGTTTAAGGTATCGCTGATTAAAATTATGGGGACTGCCAATTGGGAACAAAGCAAACGAACAAGGGTTGTACATTTGGTACCTGATCGCGATGGTACCTGATCGCGATCATCGCGATGGCATATGATTTTCAGAATTTAGAATTAAAAAAAAAATTTTACATAATACATTTTTTTGCTACATCTGTTATCTTCTACATCTACAATGTATATTTTACATCTAACATGTAGATTTGATGTACTATTCATATTCTACATCTTTTCCGCTAGGGGTTGCTCGCGCACTGAACGCGGCAGAGTGTGGAGCGAGAAGGAAAATGAGTTGTGTTGTCGTTTGGTGGAGGGGTGGCAGGGAAGCAACTGAAAATTAATTTCGCATTCTGGCTATAATTATGATCCGATCTAATTCAGATTCAGCAGTCTGGTAGATATGGGCATCTCTACGATCTGCCTTTTTTGTTTAATCGTATCTTTAAAATTGTGCCTGCCACAGATTTTCGTCCTTTGTGGGGGCCTAAGGGGGCGGGGCGAAATTCTGAAATACACTTGTAGCAGTGTGATATCACATAAGTCTGGAAACCAAATTTGGTTGCCCTAGCTCTTATAGTCTCTGAGATCCAGGAGCTCATCGAGACGGACAGACGGACAGACAGACAGACAGACAGACAGACGGACAGACATGGCTATATCGACTCGGCTATGATCTGATGAATATATATCTTTATGGGGTCGGAAACGTTTCCTTCTCTGCGTTACACACATCCACTTTTACCACAATTCTAATATACCCCTTAACTTTTTTTGAGTACGGGTATAAAAAGTGCTTTGTATGTATACCATTGATGTCATCCGTGTTACTTATATGTAATCAAATAAAGTAGTCATTATTACAGCAGGGATATTCCACCCAAAAATGTCCTTTTTGATATTTCATATGATTATGGCAATGTAATGTAACACGTTAAGATTTGATATAAAATCTATGTATATAAAACAAAGTCGTCTCCGGTAAACCGCTTATAGCTCGAAAAGACTTGACCGATTTTCATGGTATTTGATTTGTTGAATTTGGAAAAATATGGAAATATGAAAAATTAATTACTCAAAAAATAAATAAGTAATATTTTAAAAATATTTTTTTATTTTAGAATATAAATAGCGGAGTATTTAAATAAATTTTTATTTTTTAACTTAAAAACTTTTAAAAATAAATTAAAAAAAAAATAATTTTTTGTATTTCAAAATATTTTGAAAACACTTTATATTAATACAAAAAAGGTATAGATCAAAAATAAGAAATTTGCTTTGTTGTGTTACGTAAGCTTTTTTCAAAGGTACGCTTGTTTTTTTCCCATAGCTCTAGTATCTTACGTTTGGTTGTAAAGAACTTTGCTATTTTGAAAAGATAATTAAAACAGCTTGAAGGTGAGCCCAAACACTTTGTGATTACAGCTTACCGTCTGGGAAATGTAAAGCATTGAAATGCAAAATGAGATTTTTGTGCGGTATTTTTTACGAAATTTTGACTTTAAAAACCAGAAAAGTCGAAAAAAAATTATATCTTGTGTCCTTTATTTTTTTGTGTATAGGTGCGTTAATTTGGCTTCGTTTAAGGTATCGCTTATTAAAATCTATGGAGAGACTTTGGAGCTCAAACTCGTTAACTAAACCTAAAATATGGAAAAAATGAACAAAAAATACCTTTTGGAAGGTTGCGAGCTCAACTGCCCATTGGGAATTGGGATCGCGATCAGGTACCAAATGTACAACCCTTGTTCGCTTGCTTTGTTCCCAATTGGCAGTCTCTCCATAGATTTAATGAGCGATACCTTAAACGACGCCAATTAGCACCTATCCAAAAATGGGCAGATATAATTTTTTCGACTTTCTGGTTTTAAAGTCAAATTGAAAAACCGCACAACTATTTTTTCAATGTGTATTTTCCCAGACGGTAAGCTGTAATCCAAAGTGTTTGGTACCAAGCTGTTTTATTTTTAATGTTAACCAAGTAGGGGGTGCCACGTTACCCTGAAAAAGGTTAGAAAAAATCAGTTTTAAAATTTTAAAACGAGAAGGACGGTGAGTCGCTCGGGGACACGACTCACTTATACCCGTACTCAGTCAGTATATACATTATTGAGCTTATGATTTTTTAGAATTTTAGAAAAAAAAAAAAAATTTTACATTTTTTTGCTACATCTGCTATCTACATCTACATATACAATGTCTATTCTACATCTAACATGTAGATTGTACATGTTCCATTCATATTCTACATCTCCTCCGCTAGGGGTTGCTCGCGCACTGAACGCGGCAGAGTGTGCGAGCGAGAAGGAAAATGAGTTGCGTTGTCGTGTGCGGAAAGGGGAGAGGAAGCAACTGAAAATTTCTTCATTCTGGCTATAATTATGATCCGATCTGATTCAGATTCAGCAGTCTGGTAGATATGGTCATTCTCTACGATACTGCGTTTTTAGTTTTATCGTATCTTTAAAAATGTGCCTGCTACAGATTTTCGTCTTTTCTTGTGGCGGAAGGGGGCGGGGCGAAATTTTGAAATACAATTGTAGCAGTGGGATATCACATAAGTCTGGAAACCAAATTTGGTTGCCCTAGCTCTTATAGTCTCTGAGATCTAGGCGCTCAACAAGACAGACAGACGGACAGACGGACAGACAGACATGGCTATATCGACTCGGCTATTGATGCTGATCAAGAATATATATACTTTATGGGGTCGGAAACGTTTCCTTCTCTGCGTTACACACATCCACTTTTACCACAAATCTAATATACCCCTTAACTCTTTTTTAAGTACGGGTATAAAAAGTTCTGCCATAGAAAAAAAAAAAATCATCAAACCATTTCTAAGCCCCAAATCTTTAAGAACAAGTTCGTTTTGTTCCTTGAGGAAAAATCGTGTTGACTAGTGTTATCAGTTAATTGAGTGAAAACATGGATCAAACTCGTTTTAGCTTTTCTTTCTTACTCAGTTTCCATGCGCCATATCGCAAAAAGCGCGTTTTTCGAAACTGACATTTGTCCTATAAAATCAAATAAATTAACGTGTTGCACGTAGTTGCAATTTGTTTTAACACAGAAGATTAAAAAAAGACTGGTTTCAAAAATAAAAAAAGATTGAAGGCGGAAGGGGACGGATGTCAAAAGATCTATTCCATGCAAGTGTTGGGTATGATATTAATAGCACACTAAAGGAAATATTAAGTTCTACAACAATTTACCACTAATACATGTAAGCACAGGACCAACACATATATTTTTTATTGAATACTTACTAGCTATGATCAAAATGGATGGTAATTTTAATACAATTCACAAAAAATTAATATTTATTTTGCTTTACAAAAAGCCATAAAAAGGCGGTAAAATTTACTTAGGTATGGACATACAAGTTTTTTGCGATTCAACGGCGTGCAGGTACTGGACTACCGATACGAAAAAATATAAATATAGCATTAAATATCAGTGGGATGTTTACTTTCCAAAAATTAAAAAAAATTAACAAGATTCGACATTTTAATTTTTGATTTATTGCCTGCCAGATAGGCAGAATCGACCACTGTGCGCGGCTCGAAAATTTTGTATGAAGTTGGCCTTACCATGGTTGTCAAACGTTTGCTTAATTTTTTGTTTGAAAAATGGTACATAAATCAAAAAATGAATTCAGTCGGCTTAGAGTGTTGATAGAGTATAGATAAAATACATCATTTTAGACCGATTTGGCCGATTTTCGAAAGTGTAAGATAAATTTATGATTTGTATGTTTTGTGTAAGAAATTAATATGTATATACAGATTAATATAGATGACGTGACGAAGAAGATCAAATCTTTCCCAACGGAGCCGAGATGCAATTAGGATATGGAACAGTGCGAATCAATCAACTGATGAAGAACGAAAATTGCGCCGCGTTAGTGCGGCACGATATATGGCCGTTCTTCGTGCTTTTCAAACAGAAGAGCAAAGAGAGGCAGTCCGTGAAACGGCTAGATTAGAAAGAAGAAAATCGTAGAGCTCATCGCACAGACCAACAACGATATAGTATTCGAACTGCAAGAAGAAATACTTTAAGTGTTGATTTGAATCGAGCAACGTCTCTGTACGATTGCACAATTGACTACAGCTCGCATCCTTTCGTTTGCATTGGTACAATGGAAGTAATTTGCGTGCATTGTGGGGCATTGAAGTTCGCTGGAGAAACGCATGAATTGTGCTGCCTTAATGGCAATGTTAAATTGCCATTATTGGTTCCGCCACCAGAGCCATTGCATTGCTTTGGGGCGAAATACAAGAATCACGACATTTTCTAGCGAACATTCAAAAGTACAATAGCAGTTTTCAAATGACTTTATTTGGAGAGGAATTGCCGATAGAATACGGATTATATCCAACATTCAAGGTAATCTATGTTTATTAAAAGTTAAATTTCTACTATGATATTGACTTTGTTCTCTCACAGATTCAAGGCCAGATTCACCATCGAATTGGATCATTACAACCTCTTGAAGATGCACAACATAAATTCTTACAAATATACTTCATGGGAAATATGGAGGAGATACTTGATCGGCGTCAAGAGATTCACACATCAATGAAAAGAGGAATTCTAAAAGATCTACAGAAACTGCTTCATGAAAATCATGCATTAGTCAGTCTATTCAAGACTGCGTTAGAGCGCATGCCAAACGATGACTACAAAGTCGTGATCAGAGCGGATAAACGACCAGCTGGAACACATGAACGCACAGTTAACGCTCCAACAATAGTTGAAGTTGCAATCCTGATTGTTGGTGAAAACTTGGAAATACGCGATATTGTTCTTACCCGACGCAATACTGGGCAAATACTAAAAATTTATGAAACACACCGTTCATATAACACGTTGCAACACCCCCTGAAGTTTTGGCAAGGAGACGCACTTTAAAATCAAGATTATTAATCCATTAAATGGTATGTATCAATAAAATAGAATGAAAATAATGACTTCGGGGATTCATTGGTAAAATTCTGTCTGGAAGTCTTACTTCGAAAACAATAATTTTATTGTATTAATTTGTAGGTGACGAAACTAACAAGAAGGTTAGTTCGATAAATTATTACGCATATCGGTTGATGATGCGTCTCAATACTGTAAACTATTTGTTGCGATTTCGTCGATTGTTCCAACAATATTGCGCCGACATGTACTTCAAAATCGAAACAGCGAAACAACCAAAACAAGATGCAACTAGCACCGAAGGAGATGCAACTAATATTGGTCGATCGACTATTTTACCGGCGACATATATAGTTAGCCCGCGTCACACGCGTGAATATGCGCAAGATGCTTATGTTCGATATTATTATCGGAAAGACATATTCATTAAATTTACATGTAATCCGAAATGAAATGGATATATTCAATCGAATGGCATAAAATAGGCTTCGTGCATGGTAAGTCGATAAAATTCGACCAGATTAAATAGATGATATCATATTTGCAGAGATTCCTGATAGCGAAACATATCCAGACCATGACGTCATTACGAATATTATTTATGGATCATGTGGCACCATCAACTATCAATCACTTTGCATGGTCGACGGCAAGTGTTCAAAGTGCTATCCACGAAAATATACGGCGGAGACCATCACTGGCAAGTAAGGGTATCCACTGTATCGGCGTCGATCACCCGATAAAAACGGTACAGCTATTACAACGAAAGTGAAACGCTTTTGTGGTCGACAATAGTTGGATCGTTCCATATTCGCCACTTCTCTCAAAAACATTCAAGGTAAACTATAACGTTGAGTATTTCAATTCCGTAAAGTCCATTAAATACATTTGTAAATGAAGTTGACGATGAAATTACGCGCTATAAAATTTGTAGATATGTGATAGAAATGAGGCAATTTGGCGTATATTCTCTTTCCCTTTTCACGAACGTCATCCCACTGTGTACAACGTGCTGAGACACCTCCACTGACAACACTAACCAGTTTCTTTAAAACTTGCCAAAACGATCCGTTCGCACGAACGTTGCTTTACTCGGAGATGTCACGTTATTACACTTGGAACGCTTCATCGAAGAAATTTCTGCGTCGGAGTCAAAGCAATGCGGTTCATGATCATCCCGAAATGCGTTCTAATGATGCTCTTGGCCTATTTACACAGTTAATCCAAAGAATAATGATTTTTTCTATTTGCCATTGTTGCTGATAAATGTCGTGTCATTTAATTCACTACGAGCTGTTAATGGTATAGTGTGCCCAACATATGGTGCTGCATGTCAAGAGTTTAAATAGCTTGAAAACGATACTCATTGGGACACGACAATCGCTGATGCAAATATTTCTGCATCTCCAAATCAAATCCGCACATTATTTGCTATAATCATTTCAACATGCTTCCCATCTTATCCACGTAATCTGTGAAACAAATACAAAGATAATATGTTAGAAGACATTTTACATCGAATTCGTGTCTGTTCAAGAAATTCTGACCTTGAGGCGAATGAAGAGATGTATAACCAGTCTCTTAATCTAAAATTTGTGTTACCTCATGTGCGTTAGTCAGGTTAGAAATGTCAGCGGCAGATCGAGGAATAAATGACACATTTAATAGAGAATTGGAACATGAACGTTAATATAATCGATATAAATTAGAGCAAATAGTTTAAACGAATGTATCTCTGTTGAACCCTAAACAGAAGAAGTTAAGAAGATGAGACCCCTCCGGGACACTCTAAAACTGTGATTATAGACGAAAACAGCGCAAAAAATCACAAAATTGTTCTGAACGAATGCCAAATTAAAGTAAGAAATATAGCTACACCAAGTTGTCTAAAAAAAAAAAGTTTGCCATAGTTTGAACAACGAATTGGACATGAAAAAGCTACCGGCACATTGGCTGCCAACTGACCTATTTTAATTCCCAAATCCAAAAGTTGGCTGCAGATAGCAATTTCGTCAAATAAGGCGGCTAAACCATTTGGTAATATCCATTTTGAGGAGCATGACGCCGATTAATTTTTGGAGGGGCTGAAGAGGTCGGAGCATCGCTGGGAGAAGTATGTTGACTCAGAAGGAGATTAAGTTAAAAAAATTATATACAACAATTTTAAAACTGTTGTATCATTGTCATTCTGGAAACTTATCGGACAGCCCTCGTAAAATACCCCTTAACTCTTCGAGTACGGGTATGAAAATAAAAGTCAAATGTATCATTAACATTTTTGCAGCCTTACATATAGCCGAAAAGCGTGTTTGATGACAGAGTTTTACTAGTTATTACATAGTGTTATCAGACCACACCGAACAAAATACAGTCCACTTGAAGGAGGCCTACAAACCCGCAGTTATCTCAAATCTAGCAGATCGTGGGAAAGATGTTCTTAAAGCTAGGTATGCACAGATTTATATCTATAGTTGGCCTATCAATAGCGTGTGTGGACTGAGAGATTCATGATACTCAGCTCAATAATACATGTTCTACAACTATTTCTGTAGTGAAAAGTGAGAGATAGAAGCAACAAGGTAGAGTTGACAAAATCCTTTATATTCAGGCAGGCTCCGGTTTTCACTTTTACAAAAAATGTGTGATTTACTTTTCAAAACGAAAAGTATGGTGCTCCCGCATTCGTAAAACGCTAGATATTTCCGTTTGGTGTCCTTGGTGAGCAATCTGATTGCGGAGTTAAGGGCAGTCCCATCCGGTGGCTTTGATGTATTTTGACAAGATCCCTGGTCTGATTTCGGACAGGTCTGAAATGTCGGTGAGGAAAGGAGCCCCAAGAAGCCGTAGCCTACGGTTTCCCAGGGCCGGACAGTGACAAGAAGTAGGGGACCGACTCCTCCTCTTCCCCTCCTTGTCCATACAGCTTCTACAGAAGTCGTTATGAGGGATTGACAGTCTGGCAGCGTGTGTGCCGATCTGCCAGTGTCCCGTATGACGGTGGAGCACTGTTATCTGCTGAGTCTATAGAGCTCTTCCGAGCGGTTCTTCGATCGACTTGGTGAGGTCGACCTGGAAGATTTACAGGTGATGGTTTGCTGCCATCATCTGTCGGCAATTAGCTCAAAACTTCGTGCGTTAGTAGCCTACATGTAGCCAAAGGCATCGCTACTTGCTTCTCCAGTAGGAGAGGTGTGGTAGTATCTTGCCTGGCTAGTTCGTCGGCAGCATCATTCCCGTGGATATCCATTTGTCCGGGGACCCATATTAGGGAGAGATCTAAATGCTCTGCGGTCTCATTAAGAGACCTGCGGCATATGTTAACAGTCGTTGAGTTCGACGATATTGAGCCAAGTGCTCTAAGTGCTGCTTGGTTTCTGAGAAGACGCACACTGATTGTCTGTCTAAAGAAAGTTTTGAAACGATAGAAATTTGCTTCATTTATTGCTTCAACCTGCGCTTGGAAAATACTGCAGTGGTCCGGGAGTCTGAAACAATGACTAATGTTGAGCTCGTTACAGTAGACGCCACCACCCACACGGCCGTCTAACTTTGAGCCATCAGTGTATATGTGGATCGCATTTGCGGGTCTAGGGTCACCCCTCTCCCAGTCCTCCCTGAGTGGGATTGATACCTGGAAGGGCGTCGAGAGGTGATCACTCGGTATGCAGTAATCTGTCCCCTCCGGTAGTTGCAGGAGTCTCGTCAAGATTCCCGATTGTCCAAACGTGGATGCTTTCCAGAGTTTGGATTCACTCATTCTGAGAGCGGAAAGAGCTACCACCTTTTTCCCCATGAGTTCTGTAGGGAGAGGGTACAACATGGTATCGAGAGCTTTGCCTGGGGTTGTGCGTAGTCCGCCCGTTATGCATAGCTCTGCCATGGGTTGGACACGGCTGAGTTTGCTTAGATGGTATGGTGGCGGTATATAGCCACCGGACTATGTACGGGGACACTCCCCATTTGAGTCCAATGGTTTTTCTGCAAGTATAGAGGGCCACAGTGGCCTTCTTTACCCTATCCTATATGCTCAGTTTCCAATCGAGCTTCCTATAGAGGATCAGGCCAAGACACTTGGCATTATCAGAGAGAACTTGCTGAGAATCAGAATTTAGATTGGGCGGAATACTCGCCCAGAAAGCCGTTCCATCGTCTTTAAAAGAAAGGACGAAAGACTTATTGGTCTGAAATCTTTGGGGGCAGTGTACGGGGGTTTACCTGCCTTGGGTATAAAAACGACTTTGGTCTGAAGCCATGTGCCTGGGATTTGTCCGTGAGAGAAAATTCCCTCGTAAGTCTGTTTGAGCCAATTTCTCACCCTTTGTCCGGCGTGGATAAGTCGGGCTGGGATGATGCCATCTGTTCCCGCAGACTTGTAGGGCTTAAAGCCCAGGATATATTCTCCTGACTTGGCAGGTTTAAAATGGATCTTGAGGCAACAGAAGGAGGTGCGCTGTAGCTTGGTCTGTTAACAACGCAGCCTGGGAAGTTTGTGTTGAGAAGAAGGTTAAGCGATTCATTGCTGGACGTCGTCCATGACTGGTCGGCTTTCTTCAGGTAACCCAAGGTTGGGGTCGACTTCGAGAGTACTTTGCGCAAGCGTGAAGCTTCGGAGTTACTTTCGATTTCACTGCAGAACTTACGCCATGAGGCGCGGTTGGCTTTCCTAAGTTCCTTGTTATAGGTTGATAGACTGACTTTGTACTCGGGCTCACCGCTCTGTGATCTTCGTTGCTGAAATTTGGGAGCAAAAATAAGCGTTACTCTCTTTTTGCAAGAATGAAAATACGGGTTTTACCTGAGGAGTCAGCTACATATAGCTTAAAGTCTTGAATCCTCAGACCGGAAACCCTGTTTCCGAGGATCCAGGGCTCTTAAATGAGGACTATGTCGGCTCCTACCTTGGCTAGGTGGAGCAGTAGGGCAGCGCATGCTGCCTTACAATGATGGAGGTTCATCTGCAGGAGTGTCAGGGACATTCCCTAGACTCGCCTCCACCATTGTGTCGTCGGTATCGCTCTCAGAGGACTCCATGGCCTCTCCGACATCGATGCGTCCAAGACCCCTGGCTAGGTCGCTTGCATCCGACTCGTAGCGGTCCAAGATGTCGTCCGACATCTCAGACGCTACGTCCGACGCCGCGGTTTGGCTTTCCGCTTTCGGTACCTCTGGCAGCTCGAAATCTGGTTGG